CGCGTATCAGAAGTCCTTGACCTCTCTGATCCTACAGTCAGATGCCACCTGTGTCTCTGGAGCGTTACTCTTATCTCACGTGGCATTTCAAGGGCACAAGTTCATGCAAAAATACTATACTGAGGAAACCTCAAAAAAAGGACCTAACTTTGGCGCACAGTAACCCAGTCTGAAAGAAACATCCAGCCTCTTGTGCGTGTATCTGGTGCACACAGAATTCCTTACACTCAAGCAATGCTTTTGTCAAAATGAAACTTTTTGTCTTAAGCAGGGAGACTGTTTCCAACACGCCCTTGATTGTGAAACCACTGGAAAAGGCTCTTCACAGAGCTCCTCCAGTTTGGGTGGGCTTCTCCAATGGCTCAGCACTGTTTTCCATACAGCACCAAGCAGAGAGTTGCAAGGGTGAGTCCTTAAACGCAGACCCTAGAAAAGTCTGTGCTGCCTTCATTTCCACAATTGTAAAAATGGGGATACCAGTTATTTAACTTCTAGAAAGGACTGTGAGAAAATGTTTTAAAAGTGTTGGAAGCTAGTCTGCTGACAAAAAACCTGTTACCAGAAATGTTCTCCTTCATAAAATGGTATTTGCTGATTTACACAAAACTGTTGAGCTTTTCCGTATCAAAATGGAACATTTTATATCAGGTTTTCTTATTTGTGTCTGGGAGGAGTTTCAGGCTCCTGCTTTATGTTCAAGCTGCAAATACAGCACTGCTCCAGTGCTTCATTACTTGTGTTTCCAACTATCCTGACACTTAAGACAGGAAAATAAAAATTCAAATCCATTCAGCAGCTAGAGCAACATTCTACCTGCAAGCCATCTCCTTCACCACGGGAACAGACACACAGAATAGTTATCTCAAAATTTCACATAATAATGGCAAAGAGCAGGTTTTATTCCATGCCAACTTTAAGACAAAGTAACTACTTTAAAATCAAAGGTGTCTGCAAATAACAGGGATGTTTCTCCTTTGTATTCTTCTATTTGAACGTTAAATTTTTCTGCCACTATCCCAAACCTGGAAAACACTTCCACGCAGATAAGTAAATGCTCAACTTGTACTCAGTGGAAACAGGACCCAAAGCAAGGCACACAGACCTGATCTAAACATGTGATTTCTTGCTCTCTCAAACTAAGGTCTTGTGCAGGTATTTCACAAATCTAAGTGCAGGTGGGGCTGATTCCAAATCAGTAGAAGGTGCTATCCATTTCTGGGCAGTGAGTCAGTCCTGAAAGAGTCTCCTTTCAAAAAGAGAAGAAGAAAAAAAAGATTTTTTTTTTTCTATGGGAAATCTATGGGAATAAGGCATTTGGCTTTTGGACATGTGATCCATTCTAATTCCTCCACTTCTTGCACAAGGATGTCTCAGCTTGGCTTTTTCCAAAAGACAGACATGTCTTAAAGTATGCTTTGCAGGAACAGGGATTGATAAAAATCTCTCATACATCTTTTCCTCTCATTGCTCTTGCAGAAAAAAAGAGAGGAAAAATCCTTAGAAAGTCCAGAGTACAAAATCCCTCTCCTACCTAGAAATTATTATATAAAACTTACAACCTGGTGATATAAGACAGTCCTCTGAAAACATCCTTTTGCCATTTGTCACTGGTTTTTCTTTTTCTCACCCTTTTTTCCAGTTTCAGCTGGAAGGACAGCAGCTGTGCTCAGTTGGAAGCAAAACCATTTTACTTAGAACCACTTCAAATTGCAAGAAGGTTGACGGATGGTGCTTTGCCATTCAGAAAATGTCAGCCCATTACTATATGCAACACACTGTAACACGGTACGACCTCATGTACAAATGTCAGAAGCTTCCTGAGAACTTCACACCATTCATAGAAACAAAGTGTAAATCAGTGGTCTGCTAGCTCATCTCTCCTCCCTTCCAAGATAACTGGTCTAAGCATGCAGTTAACTTAGCAGAACAAAACTAATGAAATAGTCTGACTGAAATACTAACTGAGATAATATATGAACTGGCAAAACCTCTATAAAACAGAAGTTACAACTGAAGTGTGGGTAATAGACTGCATGTGTTCTAAGACCATCTCAGATTTGTGCTTGGGAATTTAATAACCATTTTTGTTAAAGATACATTTCCAATGATTTGAAAACTTGCCTGCAAAGTGAGTTTTTTATTTTGATCTGTTTCTCTTCTATACATACTCTTACCTTCCTGTAAAACTTCTGGATTAACAATACGTAAGTCTTCACATAGATCTTAAATAAAGTAGTTAGGGGCTTGCTGCAGGAGCTATTAGGTGAAGTTTTACAGTCTGCATTATACAGCAAGTAAAATTAGATAATCCTAATGTCCCCTTCTGGACCTAAAACCTATGAACATGTACTCCTAGAAAGAAAACAAGTCTCTGAGCATGGTCACCACTTGAACCGCAGAAAAGGAAGGAGTAAAATATTATTTAAGACACGAACTATAGTTGTCTTTAGCAAGCAGCAACAACTAACCCTGCAGAAACATGTCACCAGTCTTCATACAAAGCAGTCAGGCATTGTATAGAAAGTTCAGCCCAACAATCACTGGAGAAATGCGTAAGAATGTGTCTTTTGTATGAGACAGCACTTGCAACACGGGTAGTCAGCACCTTGGGGGAATGGACAACCCTCTCTAAGATGCAGGATCCATCGCTCACAGTCTGCTGGCTGACTCAGCACTCACACAGATGACAATAAAGAGGCAAAAAACCTCAACCCCTCTGAGGACTGTGAAAAGCACCAGAAGAAAAACGTCATGGGAGTGTAAATCATCGACTAACAGCCTGAGAATATTATTTTTTCTGTAGATGGAAAAAGTAAAAGCAGTCATCTCCTCCAAAAACATGCATAATGAAAAAGAAGATGCTTCTAAGAAGCCTATTAAATGGGTATGGTCCTGCCCACATGTTCCATGTTTTTCACAAAAATATTTGTGCCTCTTTCACCCACTTGCTCCCTGCTATGGAAAAACACTTCTTCAGAGTCTGGAAAATGCTGTTTGATCTCAGTAAATTACATCTCACTGCTTGTCGGTTTCTGATTGATGGTGTAACTTAGGGAACAATATCTGTGTGCGGAATACTGTCTGGAGAAGCAGTCAGGGATTATTGAAAATACAGTATTTATGCAGTTTAAAAATCAGTGGCACATTACGCACAACTTTTTTCTAGAGTGATGAAAAATTACTGAAGTGCATTTCGGAACAAAAGGTACAAGGTCTTTTGTCTATTTGTAAGAACGCTTGACTGGTAAGACTTCTTAGTGAGTTAGTAGTGATGGATGCAAGAAAAAAGTGTCAACTGCAGTTGAGCATAAAGCCACCTGCTTCTCCAACCAATGGGCAGAAAGGAAGATGTCACTGTTCAATGGTGGTAACAGAAGAAGGATGAAAATAAAACTGAAGAAAAGAGAAGGAAAATGAACCAAGGATCACTAATTTCTCTAAGCTATTTAAAACTACTGGAGGAGGAAAAGTCTAAGGTTTCATCACACCACATGTTGTTTCCTCATCTATCTGATACGTCATACTTAGTTGGAAGACTTTCAGCAAACAGCCACTCTGAAAGAGCAGCCACCTCCTCAGCATAAATCATTCTGGAGTTACTGAATTCAAGGGCTCAGTGCTGATTTACACCAGCCACAGGTATGACTTTATGCACACCTCACCTTCCAAAACTTCATTTGAGTCCTTAAGGTCCTGTCATGGCACAGCCACCACATTTTTCACCACAACACAAATGCAACAGACACCAGGACATGAACCACAGAAAAGCCATGACTGAAAACAATTATGGAACCTACACAACATACATCCTTCCACCACATATGAAGAGGAGAAGATTAAATTCAATGTAGAAGTGCTTCAGAGAAGCAAATGAGGATGGACGCTGTTGCTAGTGGTGTGACTCTGAACCTTCCCCCCCCGCCCCCCGCCCCAGATTTGGCAGGTGTAAATTAAACAAAAAGAAATACTGCCCATAGACGATACAAGATTAAACTGCCAAATTAATTGATTGCTACAGAGAGGCAGAAATTGTGAAAAGCTTATGGAAGGGTTAGCACAATTGACAGAGTGCATGTCTGCTGCTGGTAACTGAAATGGTGGTTCAGAGGCAATCAACAGCTCAGGACACCTTTCAATGCTGTAGAAGTGTGAGGATTTTGGACATACGAAGTGGGATCACCCTACTCTTTCTCTGTTTCTCTTCTTGTTTCTCTAGCATCAGTTACTGTCCCGTTCCAGGGACAGGGAAACAGCTCAGTGGAGCTGGTCTACTCCGACAGGGCCACGTTAACGCCTGTGTGTGCATGCTACCTGCTAACAGAGCAAGTGAACATGAAAGCGAGAAACACTGTCAAAACCACAGGGTAAATTCATCAAGGCTTTCCTGAAAAATATTGCAGATTATAGTAATCCTTAGGACAGCAAAGAAACACTGGATATGAAAAGAAAAATTTATCTGCAGTAGTTTTAAGTTAAGTAAAATGGCATGATGAGTTTGAAAGCAAACAAGGAAGCAAGCCTGCAAAGGGCTTCACGACATGATGGGGATGCAAGAATAGTTCCCACACGTGGTTCATAAAGTAGGACAGCAAAGGCTCAGTGGGAGGCCTGTGCAAAAAATCACAGACAGCATTTCTGAGAAGATAGGAAAGATAATTCTGTGGTTGGGGCAAAGATAATTGTTCCTGTGAGGGAGCCATGTGGTGAGCACCAAAGATGGCACCTCAAGCGACTCTTCGTACAACTTAGAGACATACACAGGCGCAGAAAGGTACACCCAACTGCGCTCCTGAACCATGTTACTTCGAAGAACAAGCTGGTGCTACTGTACAGTAACAGCCCTACATTGCCACCGCTCTACAAGCCTCCCAGAAAACAGCCACCATCTTGTAAATACCTACTTTCTGATGCCTAGCTTCCTCCTCAGCAGCAATCCACACACCTCCTGGGTGCCCGCCCCAAGGCAAGGCGGTCCCAGACACCCCAGTAGGTGCACTTACCTCTTGCTTTCGACTCTGAGTAGGAGGGGATGTCCTCAGACGTCAGGATTTGGGGGAGGCATGTGGGAGCGCCAACCCCCTGTCCCAGGTAGGAAGCGGGTGGGTAGTAGGAGCACATGCGGTACTGGGCACTGACGGCGTGGCAGCTCTCCATGCTCTTCACCTGTTGCAGAGACAAGCACAAGCCTGTGAAAGCTGGGCCTCAGCACCACGTGGGCACCCAGCTGCCCCACATGCACACGGCTTTAAAGGAGGTCACGGGGGGTGGATGGGAAGTAAAATCCTGACATGCTGGACTTGGAGTTTTACTTTGGTTGGCTCACGGCGTGCCCACACCACTCAGCTACAGGTGAGCTGGCATGGTACGGGATGTGACCTAGCAGCAGCAGCAGCAGCACCAGCACACCTATGGCTGATTTATCTTACCTCAGGTGAAGCTGCATCTGGCACACAAGCGCGTACCCTTCACTGCAAGGAGCTTCCTGGCAAGTCCTCTGCTGACGGCACAGATAACACCACAGGAAGCTTTCCAGATCCCTTCAACTGCACGCACCCAGCCAGTGTCAGAGGTGAAGTGCCCACCCAGTCCCTTCCCCTCCCCAGAGACTAATCCGTCTCAGACTGCTGGTAACTCCTCTGCTAGGGACCTATGGGGTGGCTAAGGAGGACAGTCCTACTGACCAACTCACTTGGGACATGCTCCACAGCACCTGAGCAGTGACACATGCACACAAACACATCACTCTTCTTAGAACCCAGTGAGATGGAAAAATATTTTCAATTTACTCCGAGAAACCAAGTTGTGGACAGACTACGTGAGAAGCCTGTAGTGGAGCCACAGCTGAACACCAGCCAGCCGGTCCACTGTGTCAGCACGGTGTCCACCAGACAACCCCTTCTCCCTCCCGCAGCCTGAAGAAAAGTTGGCAGCACTCAGAAATCAAAGTTTATCCTACTCCAATGCCCTGAAATAACCCAAACTGATGTCCTCAGAGAGGTGGTAATGCTTTTTTTAATTTTTTGTTCTATGAAAGAACTACCATCTACTATTATTCATTCCAAAGCCCTACAATGTAACGTGGCTACAGCGCTCCAAAAAATGCAGCTAAACACTTCACAAGATTAAGATTTTCAACAGGAAAGGCAACACTACCTGGTCTCCTTAAGTCTGTTGGGCACTGAATGATTGTAATATGGAAGGCTTCCGGACAGACAAAAAATATCACTTTTGTACTAGATATAAACGTAGCAGTGCCAACAGCTATGCATGTCCAGCTATGCCATTAGGCATTCTCGTTGCGAGCAGAAGTGCTTGACAGCCTTTTCGGCCGCGTCTCACCTCAGTTAGAGGAGCTCTGCCCGCTCCACTGCAGTTCCCTCGTGTGCCAGCCAGCTGCACGTGGAGCCCCACTCCTCAGCCCGTCCCAGGCTGCGAAGCTCTGACCCAGGGAGCAGCGGAGGCAGGGGGTGAACCTGCTGTCCCAGATGCGACAGGGTCTGGTCCTGGCAGAGGGAGCCACTGGCACCTTCCAGTAAAGCAGCCAGAATGCAGTCACCCCTTCTTTTCCAGGGGTCTCCTTCATAATTCAATATTCATTTTAGTATACCTAGCTGGAAATAATGTGGCTTAAGTCACACAAAATACTGCTGGTGCTTTCTGAGGCAGAGGGCAACATCCTGCTTTCCATGTGGACCTAGGTTTGCAGCAAGATTAAGTGCCAGGAGAGAGTGGCGGCCATTCACAGGAAGCAAAGTACACCTCTGCCCGTCTTCTGACAGCAGCACAGTTGCACGTATTTGCACATGTACTGAGGGATCGGCAGGACACGCTTTTAGTCCATGAAAGTAAGAGTTTTTCTATTGTAAGTTAAAGCAATACTTTAAAGATGATTTTTCTACCATCAGCATCCTATGCATGCAGAAAACATTCAACATGCACCAAAGTTTCATCCATGATAAATAGTAAATTGCTCTTTAAAAAAATGCAATGTGTCATCCCAAGGAAGCCCGAGCTCGAAAGAGCCACTGATGTCCCCTCTGCTGTTCTGAAAAAGGGCAGTCTCCTCTTGGAAAGAGACATCTGTGCTTTGCATAGACACCCTCAAAAAAAACCCGGGCTGCCCTGTAATTATGAATTAGCAATAAAAAATATTTAAAAGTTCAGTCCAAAGGCCATTTTGAATCTGCATATCTGCAGAGCTCAACAGCTCTAGAAGTACTGGGGAAAAAAAGTTAGCAAACTCCTCCCTGCCTGCCATTTTGCACACATCATCTTCCTTCCCTTGGCAGGGCAGGCCTGTGAGCAGCATCCATCGTCCTCACATCTCTACCTCTCCCTTGTGCAAGTGCACGTGTGCATGCGTACAACTGAGAAAAGGTCGTCTGCAGGAGACAGTATTATTTCAGCTGTAACAAAATGGAGGGATCACTCCCTGGCACTGAAACAATCACGTGCATGTTTCCTCTCCCTGTAGAGTGCATGCAGTGACCTGTTTCCTTTCAAATCTTTTTTTAGGGTTTTTCTCCATTTCTTAAAAAAACAACTCACCTAAAATCTCTGGATGCAATGAATTATTACTACTATTATTATTAGTGTGTGGTAGCTGGCTAGCAAGAGACATGTTTTATAATCTTATTACCCACACCACGTCTATGAACCACAGTTCGACCGACAGCCAGAGGCTTGGCTCTGCAAAGAATATGCTGTGTATTAACCGCTGAAGAAAATCTAAAAGCTTTTGGTTTTGTTTTATTAAACTGTTTAGAATACACACCGCAGTAAATCTGAACCATAAGGTTTCCTTTTTATAGTGCTTAGCAATCCTATTTTACAGTAACAATAAAAAAATAACCAGTCATAAAAATTCTTGACCTTAGCGCTGTATTAAAAAGGGGGCTTAGGAGATCATTACCCCATGAGAAGGGGCATTTTCTCTGTACTAACTCCCACAGCTCTGGAGAGTCCTTGCACACTTTTGGGCGCCAGAAAGGGAGATAAAAACAGCCCTGGGGATCGCCTAGAATATTCAGATTATTTCCAAGACGGGGCAGTTCGGCCTTCCAAACGCTGCAGCTGGGTGCCAGGTTCGGGATCCTTCACTGAGTCCTGTCCTAGGGGAATGCTGGTGTCATGCGGGGATCACAGGAGGAGATGCCTGGCCCTTTGGTGTCTTATCCTGCCTCCCTGACCCCTTCCAGCCCTACAGCGAGGCCAAGACAGGCAAGGGCTGGGACAGACCCACAGGCCACTCTCATTTGTATCACTGCAGGCTATGGGCCATAAAAATAAGGCATGTTTTAGCTGAGGAAGTACTGTGGAAGGGAAGGGCATGCCCTTGCTCTTTGCAGAGAGCAAGCTGAGCTCCTGAGCTGAACACCTGAGTTGCCCACTTACAGTGCATCCCCTTTCAGCCACACACCGCTCGTGCCCTGCCCCAGCTGCAGGACTGATTCACCAAGTACCGCGCCGACTTCAGTGGGAGACACAGATCATCGGAGAAGCACATTCAACATTTACAGGTTCCCCTAAATTGTACAACACAGCGCACACTCAGCAACTTTTTAAAGGATGTACTGCAAGCAACAGTGGGATGCTTATAACTCATGAACAAATAAATATGGCCCAATTAAAAGACCATGCACACAGCAGAAATTCTTTCCCCGTTCCCTTGTAAAGCCAATATGGGGAATCAAGAGTCAGCTACAGCTCGTCCACAAACAAGCAAGATGGAAGCAGGATTTGTCTGTCACTGGGCACAACAGTCAGTGCAGCCCTACAGCAGTGCCCAACAGTGACAGAACATGTAGCAGAAGCCAGGGAAGCATAAAGGAAATGCTCTTGCATCAGTTCCGACCATTCCGGTGAAAAAGCTTTCTCAACAGCTGGTGGAAGGGCAACATAAAGGCCAGCTCCTCTTTCCAAGCTCCTGACAACATCTGCATAACCATCCTCTTCATGGACGAAGCGCAGAGGAGAGGAGATGGCCAGCCATAGACAGAAGAGATGCAAGGCAGGTACGAGTGCTGGCTCACTTCTTCCAGCCTCAGAGACTAGAAAATGGTCTTGCCATTCCCAGAGGATTTATTCAGACAAAACATCATCCAGCAAATTCTTTTATCTGCAGAAGCTGCTAGCTGCAATCTCCTTGCAAGCAAGCCAGTGTTACTTTTAGCAGCAGCTTCACATTTTGCAGTTGATCCTGACTATGGATCCCATGTCCCAAAAAGGACAAGTAGGAGGACGTTGAGAATGCTAAACCTGGGTGACAAGGGCTGCGAAAAATTCAGAGCAACAGAGGAGCTCAAAGTACTATCCTTCGGCTCTGTCACTGGTGTGCCACGTGATCTCAGCCAAATCACTTCACCCAGGCTTTCCATCCCTCTGTCTCACCTATGACTCACCAACAGCTGTCTTAAAACAAACCCAGTCATTACGGAAACACCAAGAAACCCTGTTAAAAGTTTTAACATAGCCTCCTCCTTCTCCCTTGATCTTAAAAATAACACCAGCTTTAGGGGGCATAAAATTTCATCTTGCATTTATGTGTTGTTGTTTGCAAACAACAGAATTCAGAGGTCGGCTTTTGGCATGTGGCAAGAAGGCATCTGCTGGGCACCAGAGTGGAAACCTAGACATCAGGAATCTCCACTCTGTCACTTGCAGGCTGTGTGATCGTGGGTAAGTTACTTAACACTTCCCTGCCTCAGTTTTCCCAGCTGTGAACCAGGGTTGCTGCCACTCTCCCACCTTGCAACGTTACTGCCCATGAGTTGACCCCTCACAACTACTGCTGCACTCGCACTGCCCAAGGTGGCTTTGTTTTGTTCCTAAAACCAGCTAAGCATATTTTCCAGCACAATGAAAAAATGAGTCTATGATACCCTGCCTTGATTTACTTTGATTCTAGCACAGAAAATACAAGAGACATCTATATCTGTCCCTCCTTGATAGACAAACTTAATTAACCTTTGCTATTCTGTTCCAACCTATTCTTTTAGACAAAGGCAGTGACCCATAAACAATATGTTACCATCAGAATCTCAACTGCGGTGACACCTAGAGATATAGCCCTATCAGCAGTATCGGAAAATAAACCGCTTAGATTAGCTCCTCCAAGAAATATGGATTGCATTCATGTCACACATGAGCTGTCAGAAACATTA